CACAGGCTCACGCGCGGGGTCACACACGGGGTCACACGTGCGATCAGACGAGCTCAAGCGGGGTCGCACAGGTTCAAGCGCGGGGTCACGCGCGGGGTCACGCGCGCGTGTGTGCGTGCGTGCGTCGCCCACATGTCCTCCTCGCCCTCCAGCAGACGCTTGTAGGTGGCGATCTCCGCGTCCAGCACCAGCTTGACGTCCACAAGCGCCTGGTAGGCCACGAGCTGGCGCTGCAGGTCCGACTTGGCGGTGGCGATGGCCACCTCGAGGCTGGCAAAGGTCGTCTGGTAGCTCGCCACGCTGGTGCTGCTGCGGGCCGAGTGCATCGCCACTGTCTGCTCCAGGGAGTAGCTCTGCCACAGGGAGAGTGCGGACGAGTGAGGGCGAGCGTGGCCAAGTGTGGGTCAGTGTGGGTGAGTGTGGGTGAGTGTTGGTGACTGCGGGTGAGCGTGGCTGAGCGTGGGCGATTGTGGGTGGGTGTGGGTGAGTGTTGGTGAGTGTGTGAGTGTGAGTGAGCGTGTGTGAGTGTGGGTTGAGTGTGGGTCAGTGTGGGTCAGTGTGAGTGAGTATGGGTGAGTGTGAGTGAGTGTGGGTCAGTGTGGGTCAGTGTGGGTCAGTGTGTGTGAATGTGGGTGAGTGTGGGTGAGCGTGGGCGAGTGTGGGTGGGTGTGGGTGAGTGAGGGTGAGTGTTGGTGAGTGTGAGTGAGTGTGAGCGTGGATGAGTGTGGGTCAGTGTGAGTCAGTGTTGGTCAGTGTAAGTCAGTGGATGAGTGTGGGTCAGTGCGGGTCAGTGTGGGTGAGTGTGGGTGAGTGTGGGTGAGTGTGAGTGAGTGTGAGTGAGTGTGGGTCAGTGCGGGTCAGTGTGGTTCAGTGTGGGTGAGTGTGGGTGAGTGAGTGTGAGCGTGGGTGAGTGTGGGTGAGTGTGGGTCAGTGTGGGTCAGTGTGGGTCAGTGTAAGTCAGTGTGGATGAGTGCGGGTCAGTGTGGGTGAGTGTGGGTGTGGGTCAGTGTGGGTGAGTGTGGGTGAGTGCGGGTCAGTGTGGGTGAGTGTGGTGTGAGTGTGGGTGAGGTGGGTTAGTGTGGGTGAGTGTGGGTGAGTGTGGGTGAGTGTGAGTGAGTGCGGGTCAGTGTGGGTGAGTGTGGGTCAGTGTGGGTCAGTGTGGGTGAGTGTGGGTGAGTGTGGGTGAGTGCGGGTCAGTGTGGGTCAGTGTGGGTGAGTGTGGGTGAGTGTGGGTGAGTGTGGGTGAGTGCGGGTCAGTGTGGGTGAGTGTGGGTCAGTGCGGGTCAGTGTGGGTGAGTGTGGGTGAGTGTGGATGAGTGTGGGTCAGTGTGGGTCATTGTGGGTGAGTGCGGGTGAGTGTGGGTCAGTGTGAGTCAGTGTTGGTCAGTGTAAGTCAGTGTGGATGAGTGCGGGTCAGTGTGGGTGAGTGTGGGTGAGTGTGGGTGAGTGAGTGAGTGTGGGTGAGTGCGGGTCAGTGTGGGTGAGTGTGGGTGAGTGTGGGTGAGTGCGGGTCAGTGTGGGTCAGTGTGTGTGAATGTGGGTGAGTGTGGGTGAGTGCGGGCGAGCCCTACCTCGGACAGGGTGGTCTGCAGCTCCGAGTAGTGGCTCTGCACGTCCTTCTGCACCGTGCTCAGCTCCGTCTTGAGCTCCGTGATGGCCGCCGTCGTTTGCGCCGTGGACTCTTGGATTCGCTCCATCTGGCGAGGAACAGCCACGCGTGACACGGCCGCGAACACCAACGCCGCGTTCGTATCGAGCAGCGCCATTCGTGCGAACCGCATCAAGCACAACGCTGCGTCACCGCTCCAAAAGACACAAATCCCCCCCGTGTAGCCTTAACAGACTGTTGGGGAAAGTGCTGTTAGCGAGCACCTATGAAGGCCAACACGGCACACGAGGGGGTGGTGGCCAGCACCACGCCCGGCCGCCTTTGTCTCCCCCAGCGACGATGTTTACACACCGCACCAGGTACTCATTTAAGACTGAGTCGACCTAGGGGAGGCCCAGGACACCCATCAAAATGCCTTCAGCCAGATCATTAACTCGCGGTTACTGTGCACGTGGAGGGAAACCGGAGCGTCCGGAGGAACACCCACACCTCGCGCGAGGGTGCAACGCTCTATCCCCCCACCCCACCCCAGCCCGCGCTTGCCACAACGCCAAGGCACGGCAGCACCCTCGACGCCCACGGAAGGCACGGGGCTTGGCGACGCGTTACCGTGCTGGTGTAGTGCGCCTCGGCCTCCGCGCGGTGCTTGCGCGCCACCTCCTCGTACTCGTCGCGGATCTTGGAGAGCGCCGTGGTGACGTCGACCGAGCGGACCGTGTCCACCTCGATGACGGCCGACGTCGACTCGGTGGTGCCCAGCCGGACGTGGTAAGTCGCCATCTCCTGCGCGCGCCACCACCACAATGTGCCCCACCAGCATCGGTCACGTCGGGTTACGCGTCGCCCCCCTCTCGCACGCCCGTGGCACCCCGCGACCCGCTCGCCAGCCGCCCCCGGTGACACATTTCCACACCCGGCATCGCCACGTCGAGTATTCCTCTCGCCCGTGGCACGGGCTACTCGTCGCGTGCCGCCTGAGCGCTCCGGTTCAGCGGAGTGACAAAGCGGCGAGGCATTTTGTCGATCAACTTCGCGGAGTTTGTGTAGCACCGCAGGCGGTGCGGGTCGTGGGGGTTTGCTGGACCACACTTCGCCACGCTGGGTCGGTGCGGGTCGGCGAAGGCGGGGGGTGCATAGACGATTGCAGCGATGTACAGTCCAACCGTGGATGTTTCTGCACTCGCCTCTGCTGTCCACCACGTAAGCAGCCTAGAGCTGCACCCGTTTCATGCACGGTGGTCACCTACCAAAAGTGATTATCTAGTCTCTAAGGCCGGCTTAGCGTCCCAGATCTGACTGGCACGTCCCGGTTGAGTCGGCCTGTTCCTGCCTTACCGCTTGTGCCACCTGGATGGTATGATGATGATGATGATGATTATTATTATTCGCCCATAATCACGGTTGGCGACGTGCGGTGCAAAGGAAGTTCTACAAAGATACACTTGGCGCGAGGCCGTCAATCTCACGCGCCATGACACTGGGTGGCAACTGCCGTTCACGTGGCCCACGAGGGGGCCCAGGTGCGGGGCTATGAAGAAGATCGAGGGGGGAGGAGAAGGAGGTGGGGGAGGTGGATCTCGGACCCCGTTTTAAATTTTGTTTCACCGAGGCCTCTGCAAACCACGGTCACCGCGTGGCTCGCTTTCAGGAGGTGCGCTTCTGCGGCCGTCTGGAGCGCTCTTCCCTCCGATGTTCGGACACACACTGGAGCCATGCACTGTTCAATCACCTACATCGGAGCGCTCATTTCGTTAGAACTGCGTTTTGTGTTCAGTTTGTTGTCCTTTCCCCGCACCTCCAATTCACGCGGTCGGCTACGTACGCTGCTAAAGAAGTTTAACGTGCATACATCCACACCTACAAGAGCGCAGCGCCCGACAGATGTCAGACATCACCTCACTGAACTCGCTTCGAAGGATGCCGCGACAGACAGAGAGAAGCGGAGTGACGACTGCCATGAGATGCCAGTGAAGGAAACGTCCGCGTGCCGTCAGCCCCAAAGGCCGAGGCAACGGAAGGACAGGAAGGAAGGAGGAATGGGATCGCAACGGGTTACTGGTGGACGCGGCGCGACCCTGGTGGTGGAGCTGAACGCGACGCGTCTTCAGCCCAGCGCATACCTCCTCGTAATTCATCTTGAGGAACGCGAGCTCTTCCGTGAGGGAGGTAATCTTGGTGGCCAGGGTGACCTTGGAATCGGTCGCAAACTCGATGTCCTGGCAGGGGGTGGGGGGGCACCACCGTCAGACGCACGCAGAGAGCAAGAACAGAATGTCAACATCGCACTTGGCACCTTCAACATTCCCTCCATAGACTCAACTCCTGCCTCCCCGCATGCCTAATCTCCTCACTCTACTCCCCTCCACTCACTCTCCTGCCTCGCACCTCTCATCTTACTAAACTCTCATCCAAGCACTCTCCTACCTTTCCCCTCTCATTTCACTCTACTCCCCTCCACGCACTCACCTACCTCTCCCCTCTCATCTCACTTTACTCCCCTCCACGCACTTTCCTACCTCTGCCCCCTCTCAACTCAATCTACTCCGCCGCACGCACTCTGCTGCCTCTCCCCTCTCATCTCACTCTACTCCCATCCACGCACTCTCATGCCTCTTCCCTCTCATCTCACTCTACTCCCCTCCACTCACTCACCTACCTCTCCTCCCCCTCATCTCCCTCTACTCTACACTCTACTCCCCTCCACGCACTCTCCTGCCTCTCCCCTCTCACCACTCTATCTCACTCTACTTCCATCCACGCACTCTCCTGCCTCTCCCTCTCATCTCACTCTCTCACTCTCTGCTCTCCTCACACTCACTACTGCCTCCACCTCTCCTCCTCTCCCCTCTCATCTCACTCTACTACCCCATCCACGCACTCTCCCTGTCCTCTCCCCTCTCATCTCACTCTACTCCCCCTCATACACTCTCCTACCTCTCCCCTCTCATCTCACTCTACTCCCCTCCACTCACTCTCATGCCTCTTCCCTCTCATCTCACTCTACTTCCCCTCCACTCACTCACTCCTCTCCCCTCTCATCTCACTCTACTCCTCCCCTCATCTCACTCTCACCTCTCTCCCCTCCACTCACTCTCCTGCCTCTCCCTTCCTCTCCCCTCTCATCTCACTCTACTCCATCCACACACTCTCCTGCCTCTCCCCTCTCATCTCACTCTACTCCCCTCCACACACTCTCCTACCTCTCCCCTCTCATCTCACTCTACTCCCATCCACGCACTCTCCTGTCTCTCCCCTCTCACTCTACTCTCACTCTCCCCTCCATACACTCTCCTACCTCTCCCCTCTCATCTCACTCCACTCCCCTCCACTCACTCTCCTGCCTCTCCACACTAATATCACTATATTCCCATCCACGCACCCTCCTACCTCTCATCTCACTCTACCCCCCTCCACGCACTCTCCTGCCTCTCCACACTAATAGCACTCTCTCCACATACTCTCTTCTTCCTACGATTCTAGTCAACTTGAATTCTCAGGCGCTTAACAAAAAAATCGAACTCGGAACGTGAAACTAAACGTACGTCCACATCGAACACGGATGATTCTCGTGATCCAATGTCACGACTCACAACTGATCTGTGAGCAGACCTCACGAGACTGGAGGACCTTTTGGCAAATTCTCCCCGACGACGATGATGATGATGACGATGATGATGATGCCGCCTCTATTACAGTGTCAGCGAAGCGTCGTTCCACATTTAAATCGTGCGATGTTGCTCCGAGACGGCCATAAATTGCCCGCGTGTGCTCGCGAAACGTGACAACTTTGTCAAGGAGACAGAGTCTGAATCATTCAGACTCTGTCTCCTTGACAAAGTTGTCCTGTTCTTCACCTGAAGATGGCTGCTTGCGTTGTGGTCGAAACGTCGTGAGAATTATTTTATTATGTTTTATTTTTATTATTTATTATTTTCCTTCTACGTGACTTTACCGAAAGAACCAAGAAGATGAATCCCTGCAGTCACGAAAGCTTTAAATCGAAACGTGACAACTTTATTCACTGGCCGTGTCGAAACGAGAAGAAGGTGTCACGACACACGGTTCTACTTACGCGGCGATCTGAACCCCCACCCCCCCAAAAAAAACATGAAATCAACGTTACGATTCATCAGCGTGCCCGCAGTCGTTGTCGGCTGACCGCGGCAACGGCGACTCACCTTCTTCATGAGGGTGATGTCCGACTGCAGCTGGTAATGAATGCCCGTCTCGAAGTCGTACCTGCACGCGCAACGACACCCATCGATCACTCGCTCTGCGGAGCGCGCTCTCGTTACCGGCTGCGTGAGGCTCGCCCTGCAGAGGTAGTGACCGCTTCGTGTGTGTAGGACATGAGCCAGCAGTGGCACTCCCGTGCCTTGCCACGGAAGCTTGTGTTGCCTCCGAAACGTCGTGATTTTTATTTTATTTTTATTTTACTTTTATTATTTTAATTTTTTATCTACGTGACTTTACCGAAAAAACCTAAGAATATGAGCCGGCGTGTTTGGTGAGCGGTCGCGGTGTGATTGCTGATTATTGTGGTGGTGGTGGTGGCGGTGGTGGTGGCGGTGGTGGTGGCGGTGGTGGTGGCGGTGGTGGTGGCGGTGGTGGTAATGGTGTTGTAGCGGTTAGCGCGCAGCACTACGAACCCGGCGACCCGAGTTCGATTCCAGCACATGGCCAACAGCAGTGACGATTATCTGAACCGGTACTGGGCCTCCGCTAGGTAGACTCAGCCTCAAATGAGTACCTGGTGCGGTGTGTAAACATCCCCACTGGGGAGACAAAGGCGGTCCTGCGTGGTGCTGGCCACCGACCCCCTCGTGTGCCTCGCCGACCTTCACAGGTGCCACTCGCTAACAGCACTTGCCCCTACAGTCTGTTAAGGCTATATGGGGGATTTTTGTCTTTTGGAGCGGTGGTGCAGCGGTTAGCACACACCGCGCTACGAATCCAGTAAATTGATTTTGATCCCGGCTCACGGCCAACAGTGGCACTCCCGTGCCTTGCCAGTCACGGCCGGGGTTGTTTGGCCGTACTTCGCCACGCCGGTGAGTAGCGGGGTCGGTGACAGGGGTCGCGGGGCGGGTGAATAAGAACAGGTTCAGGCATCACTCGCCACTGACGTTGGCCGGGAATCAGAACGTGGGTCACCACCGCTGCCCACGGAGGCAACGTGGGGGCAGTCGTCGTTGTGCGGAAAAACCGGGTCCACCCTTGGTCACTCGCAAAGTCATCACTCAAACGTAATCATCGCCTGCAACTGCTTTGTCCACCTCCCGAGCGAGCCGCTGTGCAACAACAACAAAAAAAACGACGACTACGTTCGACAGCGCGTCCAGGATCATGGCGACCGATGAGAGTTTGCAAAACGCGCGGCGTGCGGCGAATGAAACGCTTGGAGAGTCGAGTCCACTTCTACTGGGAGCAACCGGTTGCGCAAGTTGCTCGCAACCAATCGCAAGAAACGTCCACGATTAAGCGATTCAGTCGCCTGGAACCAGTTGCGTGCAGCTGTGTTGTGATCAACTGGAACTTGGCTTAAGCAACCAGCTACACAACTGCTGCTCGCAACTGGTCGCAAGAAACGTCCACGTACAAGTGATTCAGTCGCAGGCAACCAGTTGCATGCAACCGAGTTGCGTGCAACTGGACCTGGCTTCAGCAACCACTGCTCGCAACCGGTTGCGAGTAGACGTCCACGCACAAGCGATTCGGTCGCATGCAACTCGGTCGCGCGAGCCACTCGCGCGACTCAGTCGCGGAGTCAACGTCCGCAGGGAAGCGACGTCGCAGAAGCCGCGGCCACGGAGGAGCGAGAGAGGAGAGCGAGCGAGAGGAGAGAGAGAGGGGGGGGGAGGGGGAGAGAGAGGGGGGAGAGAAAATTACGTAAAATGCTTCATTCAAAAAGGGGGGGGGAGCACATAAAGCAAAGCATTGGAAAAAAAAACGAAAAAAGCGAAATGATGAATGAAGGAAAGTACCGACTACACCGAGCATCTTCTTGTTTCCTCTGATCGTAATAAAAAAGAGAGAGAGGAGGGGTGGGAGGGAGGAGGGAGAGAGAGTATAGTAGGGAGAGAGGGGGTAGAGAGAGAGGGGGTAGAGGGAGAGGGAAGGGGTAAGAAGGAGGAGAGTAGAGCGTGAAATCTTTCATTTTTAAAGGGGGGGGCACATAAAGCAAATCGCTGAAAAAAACCGAAAAAAACTAAATGATGACGAAGCAAAGTGCCGACTACACCGAGCATCTTCTTGTTTCCTCTGATCGTAAAACAAAAAAAGAGCGAGCGAGAGAGGAGAGCGAGGGGGGGGAGGATAACCACGGAGAAGCGAGAGCAGAGGAGAGCGAGCGAGAGAAAAAATAACAACAAAACAAGTAAACCCGTAAAAACAAAGTTTTTCACTCTAAATCCTTTAATGCGTGGCGGCTAGAGTCCTCTCGTCCTCTGGCTTGAGATGGCTGCCACCTATGGGTCAGATGATTGTCTGCCAGCATTAAGCAATTGGTAATTAAATATTTAATTAATTTTCCCTAAACAGTGTAAAATTTTGGAAAAAAATTTCACGAACATTAATTGTCTCGCACAACGAGTCTGTGTGCAAAATGTCAGCTCGATTGGATCACGGGAAGTGGGTTAAAAAACGACCGAAAGGTTTGCACGGTCGTAAGCAAGCAAGCAAGCACGCAAGCAAGCAAGCGAACTTAATATAAAGTATTTAAAAAGAGCGAGCGAGAGAAGAGAGCGAGGGGGAGGTAGGATGACCACGGAAGAGCGAGAGCAGAGGAGAGCGAGCGAGAGAAAAATAACAAAAAAATAAAAACAACATGAAACAAAAAAGAGCGAGAGAAGAGGGCGAGGGTGGGTGGGTGTGGGGAGAAGCAGGATGACCACGCACTTGGCTCGGAGCTCCTCTGCGGTGGCGCGCACGTTGTCCGCCTCCACCTCGAGGCTCGCGGTCTCCGTGGCGAGCGTCTCGAGCGAGGTGCGCAGCTCGGCCACTCGCTCCTCGTAGTCGACCGCGAGGTCCCCGTCGGCGGAAATGGGCGCGCCCCCCGCCAGCACCTGCAGCTGCGCCTCCAGCGCTGCGTTCTCGCGCTGCAGGAGACGCACCTGCGTTCGCGTGCACAAGCGGTCGTCCTCGTTATCGTCGTCGTCTTCATCGTCGTCTTCATCATCGTCGTTGTCGTGTTCTTCATCGTCATCGTCTTCGTCGTCTTCATCGCCGTCATCCTACTCGTTATCGTCGTCGTCTTCATTAGTGTCGTTATCGTCGTTGTCATCGCCGTCATTGTCGTCATCGTCGTCTTCATCGTCGTCATTGTCGTCGTTGTCGTTGTCTTGATCGTCGTCGTCATCGTCGTCTTCATCGCCGTCATTGTCGTCGTTGTCGTCGTCATCGTCGTCATTGTCGTCGTTGTCGTCATCGTTATCGTCCTCGTTATCATCGTCGTCATCATCGTCGTCTTCATCGCCGTCATTGTCGTCATCGTCGTTATTATCATTGTCTTGATCGTCGTCGTCATCGTTATCATTGCCTTAATCATCTTCGTCGTCGTCATCGTTATCATTTTCTTTATCATCGTCGTCATCATCGTTATCATTATCATTGTCATCATCGTTATCATTGTCTTTATCATCGCCATCGTCGTCATTATCATAACCGTCATCGTCTTCATAATCATCGTCATCATTATCATCGTGCTTGTTGTAATCATCGTTGTAATCATCAACTCAATCTGTCTTTTGTTGTTGTCGTTGCTGTATCAAATCTTGTAACTCAATTTTAACCCACTTCCCAATGTGATATCGACTGCAAACTTGGTATACTTATGTCATACTGATGACAATACTATATTCTATCAACAAAACTATATATAAATATTTTTAAACATAAATTGTATATGTTATGTTTCTGCTTGGGTCTAATTAAATCACCACGGCCCATTACGTCATGGCAAGCTTCGGGGCCACTTCCTGAGGTCGTGGAGTTCTGCCATTACTCGTACGGTACATTTCATTAAAGCGTGTTTTTAAAAAAAGTTTTTTTTTATATTACTTATTTTGTTCCTGTTTCTGACATTGAAAATAGGTAAATTTCAAAATATCACTGTCCTGTCACAAAAGCAAAGTTTGTGGGGAATAATAGCCATTTGTTATACTTTTTAGGCATAGGCAATTACGAAATAGCACTTACTACTGAGGAACAGACATCGTGTTACAGAGTGTAATAAACACACACAGGTTACATCACGATCAACAGCTGAGCAACGTTAACGTGTGCCGCACATTAAATGTAATTCGTGCCTCCATGTAACACGTGTGTGTGTGTGGTTTACACTGAGTGGAGAGAGAGAGGCCTTTAGTTTGTGATTCTTTCCACCTCGCCCCCCCCCATTCACCCCCCCCCAGCCCCCCTTTCCCCCGCCCCCTAGCATGGCCCTGCTGATCACATTCCTGTATGAGACAGCTCAGCGTGCCAGCTGCTGCATGAGCGTCGTTGACATAATCAAGTTGCGACAGGCTTTGGCTGGTGCAACGTGGAGTCGTGATCGGCGTGGAATTCCGTCGATGCGTCCGCAGGTTGGCACAAGCGACGCGTTGTGACGTCAACGTGCGAGGCATCCGACCACGTGCTCTGAAGTGGCATCAACGCTTTTTGGTCGTGATGGCATTTCGAACCCTGAAATGCTTTCTGCCGCATCTCGGGTAGCCGGACAAAGAGAATGACGTGCGCGTTAATAGATCGTGGGTCAGAGGTGAGATGTTTTTTGTTATTTTACAGGCGAATGAAGGAAAGTTATGGACAAAGCAACAAAATAATCGAGGCTAATAAGTCTGGCAAAACTGCGAAGTTTCAGACACGCGACCGGAACGACTGATGACCAGACCTCGTGGTGGACGGATCACTGGAAGGTGCTGGGGGAAAGTGGGGAAGGTCACCCGGATTGATTGTCAAACGTCAATCGTTGGATGGGACGGAAGTCGTCTCAGTTTGAAAGACGCAGCGATGGACAGCGAGAAGTGGAGAGAGCATCGCACACGAGGAGGAGATGTCGGTGAATGAATCGACCATGCCCCCCCCCCTCCCCAGTGGCCCGAAAGACCGATAAACCAGGAGAAGGTTTAGAAGGGATTGCGGGTAGTAAGAAAGAGATGTTATTTTAAGGTGAAGGATGAAAGTAAGAGGAGAGGAGGGTACAGGGAAGGTGACTTCTGTGTGGTACAAGGCGTTTGATCACCATGAACTCTCGATTATCCAGATTGTAGATTCTCCGTGCCCCAATTACACTTTTACACTCGCAGCCGGGTCCAACAATCAGCTGCCCCTCCACCCATTGAGGGGTCAAGCAACTCAGTGTCCACGTGACCGCAAGCTTGTCGGCAAATAATCCGATTACTCAACTAAACCATGTTTTTTTATTTAAGCAGGTACGGTCCACTGAGCGATATAGATATTTTTCAGAAGCGACCTGGTCATCACAAACGATAGCTCAACGAAGTGGCTTATCACGTGGACATTTATAGCAGCAGCAGCAGCCACCAAATACTCGCAATGTTCGTCACGTGACCGTCAAACGCATTGCCACCTATTCTCAGGGCCGGAATATACTACGTAGATACATCAATACAATAATCGGCGCAGAACCAAAGGTAATGTGCGCTCGTTGGTGACCGGGCTGACACCATCAACTGGCTCCACTCGAGAATCCCGTGTACATAATGTTGTGTTTCTGAAATCCGGATTCGAATCCAGGATCTCAGCGGTTGCCAGCTCAACAGAGACGATAATGGTGATGATGATGTTGGTGGATTCACCGAGTGGTTCATCAAATCCACTGTTCAGCTCCACACACATGCACAGGTTAAGCAAAAATGTGCACACCCAGGCCGCATCAGTGACAAAGAACGGAACTGGTTCTTAAGTATATGGAGTTGATGGTCTCAGTCTGGCCACGAATAAGCACACACACACACAAACCATCACAATCACTTTGGTTCTGCACTAGAATGGAATTGTGTAAACATTATAGAAAAAACCCTAGTTAAACATGTTTTGGGGAATTCCTGACTAAAACAGACACAATATAATTGAAAGCTGAGCAGAGTCCAGCACTCACAAATCGTGTAGATATGCACAGGCAATAGGTTCAGTACTCAAACCAACACGGTAATGTTGGATGTGTGATGCCATCGCATCTCATGGCACCTTCGAAACAGTGAGGAGGGTATCACTAAAGTGAATCATTTCAAGGCATTCCATCTACTATACACAGCGCATTAATCACAAATAATTAACACTGGCAATAGCTGTTAAGAAATAAAATATACCTTAGAACTATGGAACGTTTGTAAACAAGCTAAACAATAGCTACATTTCAAATCCCATACGAAAATGTATTTATCCTACTCGAATCGAAGAAGCTTCCAGCACGTGGCAGCGAAACGTCGGACTTCACGCCAAACAAACACGCGATATACATTCTAGATTTGAAGCTTTCGTGACTGCAAGGATTCATATTCTTAGGTTTTTTCGGTAAAGTCACGTAGGTAAAACATTAAAATTTATAAAAGTAAAATAAAATAAAAATCACGACGTTTCAGAAGCAACACAAGCTTCCGTACGAAACGTCGTGATTTTTATTTTATTTCACTTTTATTAATTTTAATGTTTTACCTACATGACTTTACCGAAAAAACCTAAGAATACGCGATATAAAAACCGAAAAACGAAAAAATAATCAAGAGCGTCGCCGCTGCCCCCCCCCCCCCCCCCCCCCCCCCCCTCGCCTTCTCCACGTAGCCCGTGAAGCGCTGGTTGAGTCCCTGCAGCGTGGCCTTGTGCACGTTTCGCGTGGCCAGAGGCGGCATGGCGGCGAGCGACTGCGGCGGATGCCCCCCGGCCAGTCCTCCCGACAGCATCGAGCGCCCGGCGGCGAACGCGGGGCTCCCGTACGGCATGAGCGCCCCACCACCTCCCCCGGCAGCCAGACCCAGACCCAGTCCGCCTCCGTAGCCTACGGCGTAGCCCCGAGACGCGCCGAGCCCCGTCTGTAGCGAGAGGCCTCCTTGCCCCGTGGCGACCCCGTAGCCATCACCTAAAGCCAAGCCGAGCCCCGCCGCACCGGAGCCGTACACGCCGTAGCCCACTGCACCACCACCACCGCCACCACCACCGCCGTACATGCCCATTCCGCCCCCTGCCATTCGAGTGACGGACGCTCCAAGGCCGTAGGAGGACGACGATGCACCCCGCTCATTTGGAAGCCGTGGAATGAGGCCATCCCTTCGTGTGTGTCTGTGTTGCTGCAGGAGCGTTCGGACAAGCGGGTGTGCGGTGAGCTCGAGGGATGGTCCCGTGCGTTTGGTCTGCAAGGTCCAACGGGACTGCCTCTTTCTCTTTTTCTTGTCTTGTGGACGTGTGGGTGGGGGGGTCTCGTGGATCGGCGAGCACGTGTGTTATAGTGTGTGCGTGTAGTCGTGTGCGTGTGTGTATATATACGCAGTGTACAGATGGACAAACTCACACGCGCGTGTGCATGAATTCTCATTCGCGACGCTATTTATGCACCAACGAGAAATCCAAACTCGTCGAGTTCCCTCCAACTCAGCAGCAACAGCAGCAGCAGGAATGCACGCACAGCGGCAGTAGTCAGCATCACGCTTGCCCGCCCGCCTCCGTGTTGAAAAGAAGACGCCTTTTGTTCTACAAACACCCAGGCGAGCGTCGGCTTCACGGTCAAGAGCAGCAGCAGCCGCAATAGCAGACAGCCAAACGTGCCTCTCGCCCCCCCCCCCCCCAACTCGCTAGGCAGCCGGCCAGTCAGCAGCAGCGGGCGCGTCGTGTTTCCAAGCGAGATGGGAATATCGCTGCTCGTGTTGTGCACTTCACCGAGGGCGGAACGAGAGGCGCGCTTTGGCAGGTCTCTGCACGCCGTTTGGAGCTGTCGAGGTTGCTCCCCCCATCCCCAAAGCGATGTCGCATCGGGCAGAAATGCACACGTGTGTGTATGTGTTTGTGTGCCTTAGACGTCTATCCCGCGTTAAGATGATGCTGCAGGTCCGTCGCGTTATATCTGCGCGTGTGTGTTATCATAGAGCGGTGGTGCAGCGGTTTAGCGCGCTGCACTATGAACCCGGGGAGCTAGAGAGCTCTTATTCAGAAGCGACCTGGCCACAAATTATACCTCGACGAAGCGGCTCATCACGTGGAATTATATCGCAGCCAAATACTCTAAACGCGTGTTTCTAAATGTGGAGGGGAAAAACCGGAGGACCCGGAAAAAAATCAACGGAGAGAGAGACGCAAAGTCCAAATACACAGCAGGCGTCAGGGTCGGGATCGAACCTACGACCTCTTGTATACGAGGCGAGATGGTTAACATCTCGCCACCGTGATTCGGTTTAGGGATAGTTAGAGTTAGGGTTAGGGTTGGATAGGGGTAGGGTTTGGATTAAGGTTTCGTTAGGGTGAGGGATAGGGTTCGAGTCAGGATGAGGGTTGGAGCGGAGGTGGGGTGGAGTGCTCAAACGTATCCAACTCACGACCCACGTGAGCAGCCAAACAGACTTCCGGGACCCATACCGGGTGACACAGCGTGTTAAAAACAGTGGCGGCTGCTGGTGACTTGAATGTATGTGTAGGCACGCCTCTACTTACGAAGATTCGACTTGCGAACTTTCAGAGATACCGCCGTGCAATAGATGACGGTGGTGGCATCTACGTTTGCAGAACATGAAGAACCAGTGGTATCTACATCTACAGGAGATGATACAACTTTTAAAGCCATTCTCCCCGTGTTTCGTGTACATGCCGTGCAACATGTTTGGAATCGACCGAAGTAAAGTTGGACTTACGAACAAATTGACTTACGAACAGACCTCTGGAACCTAACTCGTTCGTAATTAGAGGAGTCCCTGTATGTCTGAACGTATTTCGCAACGTACGTAGCCAAACCGTGCTAATTGGAGTTGGAGTTGCGACATCTCAGCCAGACGAGAGGCTTACAGGTGCGAAGCCTCGCCCAAAAAAACTATCAATTGCGGCGGCAAAGTCACGTCTGAAAAAAAGAGCTATATAACTCAGTTGGTTGTCTTACCTGGCAAAATAAAAATAGTTGATAGTTTATTGTGTTGAGACTCGCACCTCGAGTGTGAGGGGATTGCTGCTGTATGGGGGGCTGTCCCTGGT